CCAAGATAGCATATACTCTAGATTAGCTAGCTAGCGCGTTACCCTTCGCTCTTTACATGTATATCGTGGTTATGCAAGGTTGGGCTAAGAGCATAAAGAATCGACCGAAGTGCATCAAAGCTAAATTATCTGCAGTATCTTGCCTAGAGTTTGAGAAACTTGCGATAAGCACTAGGGGGTACAAATGGCTTATTGGTCTGCGGCATGCTTCTGAAACCTTTCAATGGGACAGCGGTGTCCAGACAGGTGGTAAAATATATTTAGTGTTAATTTAAGGTCTGCGGTAGTGAAGTATAATCCCCAGTCAATGAATCTAATTAGTAGACACAACAGCTCCCAGTCAGTCTTGTTGTAATCTACTTATGCTATTCGTCGTGGAGCGGAAGTGTCAACTGAGGTGCGAGTTGGAGGGGGTGGCAATGCACGTCGGACCATTTTGTGGTCACTTTTTGGAAACTCGGGCCTACATGCATTAGAAAAGGGCATATTTTGTGACAAAACATTAGGTCCAGTGGATTTTCACCCCTTGTGTGGGAAGTAACAACTTGTTTTCAACCAAAAATATCCATTGTACGAAGATGTTTGTCATACCTAGCTGGACCAGTAAGTGAATCCCACTTGACACCGAGTGGGTTAAAGTCACTAGGTTTGATCTTGTGATCATATAGAAGATGAGATGCACGCTCCAGAGCCGTAACTAGTGGAATCTCATGATTATTAAAGACACTAGGTACTCTGCAGGCACATCCAGCCAGTACTTTAGCAATCCGGTAGTATGTGGTGACCCATAGAGAGTCACCTATCTTGACAAGGACCATATTTCTCAGCTTGAATTCTCTGAGAGTGCCCAAGAAATATATCCGGAAACCTCGTTCTTTCTTGTTGCCCGGGTCTCATTGGAAGTGCGTGTACACATCAATACTTTCCTCTTCGTCTGTTATATTTGCGTGACGCCAAGACTCAGTGATGATTACTACAGGTGGTTTAAACAAAGGTGCTGTTCCTCTTAACACCGGCAGTTTTCTAATGATAGACCTTGTACTTGTTAGAACGATGAACAGTTGGGGAGAGTAATAATTTGCAAAGCTTTAGAGTTCTCTTAATACACTAGGAGGCACCTCAGTATTACCTGTTTGAACACAGCCTGTTGACGCTGAGCTACACAGAGTGTACCCACCTCGCTCATTTGCACCCGCGGAGCTGCTGGAATATCTTGGTGGTAAATCGGCTACATGGTGATTTGAAACAGGATTAAATTTATCAGACGAGGAGGGGAAATGCCCTCACTTAAGGTCTCCAGTGTGCACTTCATACCAACATGCCTAGAGTTTGACTCAGCTCATATGCAGTCTGCATTATTTGTATCTGTTTCATAGATTGTGGTAGGTTTTGGCTTTGTACGTGACAAGTGTGTGGGGTTGGTGATCCCAACAGAAATATTTCGCACCGATATCATGCATCTTGCCGTTCCAAGCAACATCTCGTACTGTGTTCAACTTTACCATTCAGGGACACCATGAACGCTTGCGTTGCGCTTTGGTGAGAGTCTTTTAGCTCCTTCAATAAGCCTTCACTGCAAGGTATCACTCACATGGGCTCTTATGGCGTGTGGCCATGTAAGAGAACGGATATGATGTACCACCAGATACTGAGAAAGCGAACCATGGTTCACTAGACTAGAAGACAGAGGACAAACTCCAAGAGCACCGCTGACAGCGCTGATCAAAAAAGAACTGTCAAGCGAACTTGTCCCTGCAGACATAACGATAAGCGCTTCCATCACACTAACACCAAGATACCAGGAAGGACCAAAAGGCTTGCCAGCCCTTCCTGGACCGGCACCCAGAGTTTGATGCAACAGAAGAACAATCTCAGTAAGAGTTTTCGTGCATCAAAAAGCCCAGAATGTGGCTTCTTGATATACTCCTACTATGATGTGAGATCTTCGAAGTAAGCTACCAGAGCTAAGAACAACGTGCTATAATTTGCACGCAGATACAGTTTCCATTGCGGGGAAATGGCAGACACCATGGACCAGGAAACGTCTTTGATTAACACGATCTCATTTCGGAAGGATAGGGAGCTAGAAGAAGAGGGAGGGGTAGCCAGATATGCAGGCATGCGCCGAAAAGCGAAAGAGGCAGCTTATGATGTATTCAACCAATTACCAGGCTCTTTGTGGCTCTATTTTTCACCTACTGGGAGTAGAGTACAGGCCAGCGCTATGCACAACAGAGCGAAAGGAACGGACACCCACAGCGATTTTGGCTTCTTCCTCAACAGCCTATGATCACGATGTCCCCGCTGGAGAGACTCAACACGCCGGTATTTAACTCGGGCTTAGAAGGAAGTTTTTGGACGTAAGTCTTTCTAACAGAGGCTTTGAAATACCTCTGTGGCCGCAGGAACAACAGAAAGTTGATAAGATCACCTGGTGGGGACCTGATTGACTATGTTCTAACAGACGACAATATTTTGGTAAACGGCATAAGCACCCAGCCCTCCAGGGAAAAACTGTTCACGCGTTTGTGAGATTTTCTTTAAAAACCAAGGAGAAACTGCCAAAAGTCAAACTAGAAGCGTTCCGTTGTTACTGGAAGGCAGGCTACTAGCTCATGAATAATGAACTTTTAAACACTTCGTGGCCTCAGGAATGGCCGTCTTTCTATAGGCGATTACTGGAAACGCATGAAGGATAATATCTGGCGCAGCACCAAATTAATCCACCCGAAACTAACCCGACAGCCACGTCTTTAACGCTTATCGATTATTGGGCCAACATGAAGTCAAATGCAGGAGAATAGGAGGGCTTTGTACAGGTAGATTACATCACATAAGGAATTAGGTAGTCTTGGCTACAAGAAGCTTCGCGGCCTATGTAATAGAAGCGCTCGCAAGGGAAGGCACAGAATGACTTGGCTAAATACCTAAGTTACAACCCGCAAAGCTGATATCAGTTTGCGTTACAACGTCCAGTAATACATCAATATTCCAGAACTCTGATGCCAAACTGATGAACGTAAGGGTTGTGTCAAAACTAGTGTTTGCCAGTCTTTCTGCACTTGGAAAGGGATGTCCCCAGGCTGTGATGATAAAAGGCCGGTGGTGCTACGGGATTGTGCTAGTGTGTTAGGCATTCCCGTATTCAATCTGTTCATTCAGTTGTTAGGAGCACGTCATCTCCTCAAAGAATGGACGTAAGCCATCCTCCTACCAATCTTCAAGGGACGAGACTGAAAATGCCCACGCAATCACAGGTATACAGCCTAACTTTCCACTCCCTGGTGAGCCTGGTCGCAGACAGTGTTTGGGATAATGTAAACGGAAACATTATCGTCCCTCCCACCCAAAATGACTTCAGAACCCACTACATCCTGCTGGGTAAACTTGCAAAGGTGGGCATCACTGAACCTCTCGAATCATGGTTTACTGCATATCTAGGTGGCTCGGAGCCCTAACCTCTGAACCATTCTTCGTAGCGTTTAAATCTATGTTAAACCACAGAGGTGTCCAGCGAGATAGCCCCTCCTCTACTGAAGGGATATGTGAGTACTCTCAAGAAGGTAAGGAGAAGGGCGACAAGGTCAGTCTCTGAACTAATAGGCGAAACGTATGCCCAATGCGTTGTACAATTCAGCTTGGTAACCTTAATCTGTCGAAGGGAAAGTGACGATTAAATGACAAGCCACAGGGTCATACATCAAGTAGACGAACCCAAAAGGACGAAAATGTCATCCCAGAATCGACAGTCTCACAGCAACCCCACTTGCATTCCCCACCAGAGGATAAAAACGACAGCGAGAACTAACTTCTTCCCACATCATGTGACTTACGAAACTCCCCGCTGAAAGAAATAACCATAGCCGCGCCAGTCGACTCTTTCAAACGAATGATAGGCAGGTGCGTGAGTGCAAACGGTATTCCACTAAGATTGGCTGGTAGTAATTGAAGGTATGTTCATCCATACTTGTATTACCCAACCTTATTGTCTGCAGTAAGATCCATACCTTTCCCAATGCTTGTTTTTCTGTAAAGGTTCAAACTTTTTTTCTTGGCCCTCTTTTCACCTTGTTTCTCCCTTTTTTAAACACCGCTTTATACTCACTTGCCAGGGCTTACAAAAACTGGACTTCTCAAAGGTTAATTGGCTTTGTCAGCAGATCATTGCTACTACAGGCAAACCAGCCTATAATTCTCAAAAGAAAGCCAAATAATCGATTAACTGCCTCGAAATCTATTAGCAGGTAAACCGAAAGGACTTCTATGGTCATCGAGGGAGTATAACAAGAAAAAAATCAAGCCTCTGAACCTGGACACGAGAGTTTCGAAAAAAGGTTGGATGCCGAATCTTTTTTACCTCCCTTTTCGTCACGACCTTGACTCAGCCATATACTTCCCCATTAGACGTCTCCAGTTGCCACCCCCACAAATAGCTCAACTATTTCTACGCCAATAACCCTTTCAATAATCTTACTTGTCCCTTACCCTCCCTCTTGCTCTATGATCTCATCCTGTCTATTAAGGTCCTCCCATGAATCTACCTGGCTTTATCCTTTCTTTCCGTTCTACTTCCTTTCACTTTGGTTTTCCATCTTCGCACTTCCTCTTCTTGGATTTCGTTGGATATATTTTTCAATGTTTTTGCAACAAGTCCATTGAACTGTCTGATATACAAAAGCAGTCCTTGAGCAAATTATTCAAGTCATACTAGTTTAATCAACACCCAAACACCCGTCAGGCTTACCAGAAGTACGGTAGGTGAATGGGTAGATCTGCTGGATCGAAATCCACCAAGGACCGTGAACCATTCCAAAAGGCTTAGGTGCGAGCACGAAGAAATAAGTTGGTTCACACTAGCTTACATGAAGATTTGGGATGTTGAATACAAGACAAACTGGGAACTATTAGCCACTTATCCTTAGAATTAAAAAAAGTTTGATTATATTCTTCTACTATATGCAGCTTGATCTTGTGACAAATGTTGCTGAGTTTGTTTTATTGCACGAACCGTAGTGCCCTGCTTGCTTTTGATATCCGGTTTCGGTTGCGAGAAAAATGAACAGGTATGGCAGGTCACCACCGAGGATCGATGGCATGGTGTCATTAAAAGTCGACAATTTAGCTTACAGAACAACTATTGATGACCTGCGGAGGGTATTTAGCCGGTTTGGTGAAGTTGGTAAGTTAAGTTCCCCTGGACATGTTTCGAAAATCTTGAACTTCAACTAACGCGATCTTCATTCAGGCGATATTTACATCCCAAGGGATCCTTATACGTTTGAAAGCCGTGGCTTCGCATTTGTTCGTTACTGCACGGACAGGGAAGCAGATTGTGCTATTCGTGGTATGGATGGGCACAAAGTAGATGGGCGGGAAGTACGCGTTCAAAGAGCAAAGTACGGCCGACCAACTCCAAATCGTCGCAGGTAAACTGTTTTCCCACAGCACTTATGTGGATATTTGGTGTAACCTCACGATTGTACTGTATGCAATGAATGCGTGTATGTAAGAACCTAGGCCATAGCACTGATAAAAGTATTTAAAAGAATAAGAAACGTTCACAAAATGCCTTATAAGCAGTAACGAGAGACAACTCGGTTAACTTATGTCCACGCAAAACAACAATGCCTGCTAACACTGACGTGTGTGCGTAGTGTTTTTTGCTACTACAGGTGATTGAATGATATGTTCATTGTGGCAATCTGACTTGTGCTAATGTTTGTTTTCCGGATGGCTGGCTGATTGTTGGTGCGTTGTCACGCCTATTGTGTACGTGTCCATTAGTGTGTATCCCTGTCGGTGAGATGTTGTTGTTGGTAGTATTGCTGAGAATTGTCTGCAATAGCACAGACATGCTCACTCTCTTGACCTCTTGGTCTCCTGTCGACTGACACTATTCTTGTCTGTCTCAGTGTGCTTGTATCTTTGTTATCTTGCGTTGTTGTGAAGTGTGAGAACTCGAACTGAGAGACTTTTGTGTTTTTTTCTGCCATGCCATGCCATTATTATTATTATTATTATTATTACTATTATTTGTCCCTTGGGTTCCTAGTGGAACGTAGGGCTTCAGTAGCACGTCTGCAGTGCACTCTATTCTCTGCAAACTTCCGAACCTGGCTCCACGAGGGCCCAGAAGCTCTCATTTCTTCCTCTCATGATCTCCTCCATGTCAGTCTCGGACGGCCAACTCGTTGTTTCCTATCTGAGTTCCACTCGAGGGCCTGGCGCGTGGTGTCCCCAATCGGCCTTCTCAATGTATGTCCAATTCATCTCCACTTCCTTTTGCATGTATGTTGAGTGATAGGTTCTTGGTTGGTTCGTTGCCAGAGTTCCTTGTTGCTTATTCTTTCTGGCCATCTGAGCTTGAGTAACGTGCGTAGGCAGTTGTTGATGAATGAACTATATACGAGTTTTGTTCACATTGAGTTATTCTGCAAGTGGATGGTTTCCGCTAGAAAACTTTTTAATGTCATGTTACACATAGTATATAGGTCGTGTAGGCTGCTTGGAACGGCCCCCAGTTATAAACTCCAGCAGAAGGGAAACAGTTCTCCAATTCATGCGAGTCAATATGCAAGCCTAAATCTAAACTGTCCTGTGGAATAAGTTACCTGAAACTTACTACGAGGAATCTTTCTAACCGTGCGAAGAAATACTTGGCAGTTAGACTGCGAAGTGTGAATACCATGTTGTAGATGTTGATTAGTAAGTGTGAGGCTTGATTGTTGGGGATTTGTGGAGCACATGAGTGAGAGCACATGAATGAATGATGGGAGAGGAATGCAGAAGTACGAATAGATTGTGTACCGAGTGAGTATGATGGGGACTGGTGGTTGTGTTTTTGCAGTCAGTCTTTGTTGTGGCGAAGGTTGTATGCAGGGAAGACGGTGAGGGTATGCGATAGGATGTGGTGAATTTGGTTGTTGATGTGCTACGCTTTTTGTGAGAGGTTGGGATTTAGCGTGAGTAGGTGACAGGGTGAATACGTGGGTGAGAATGTTGGATATGATGCGATTGTTGGTGAGAAATTTCATGGTGTATTTCGACCGAGACACATGTGCATCTGTTCTGGATTGTCGAGGGACGTGGTTGAATTTCTTGTGAGTGAGTGGATATTTGGTAGAGATGTAGCCTTTGTCAGTTTGTGGGTGAGTGGGCTAGTCAGTAGGTTTTTGAGAATTGTATCAGATATGTTTGTCTATCTCTGCAGGATGTGTTCGTGGGTGGTTGGTGTAGTGCATCTGACGAGGACTGGTTGACAAGTCTAGTGTCTTAAGGATGCAATATTGAAGTGAGTAATCACTGGCGGTATGCGATGCATCCCGTTAAGATTGCGCTTACAAGTTGGCATTGAGTGTATACTTCCTGTGCATTCCGCTAGAGCCTGACTGTGATCAGGTGTATTTGGGATGCGATATTCGGAGAGAGTTATTCGATTGGCAACACTACTGCCGATTATATGAATACTTCTAACATTATTGTGAGCTTTGAGTGTTGATTCTAATGCATTCTCATAGTGCCAGGACGTTGTTTTGGTCTCCTAGAAATGCTATATTGAAGAAGGCGATCGCTAGTGGCATTTGCATGCCTTTAGTATCGCCTGTACACTGTTATTCTTAGTGTTTTTGTTCACCTGACTTGACAGCCAGTGTTGGACAGAGTTGTTGTTGTTGCTTAACTAACGGGTGGTGTGTGTGTGTGTGTGGTGTGGTGTGTGAGAGGTTGATATTGGTGTTGTGCTATGTTATTTCTCCGTTATTTTCAGATTTCTGTTTATGACACGATGTTGTGGAAAGGGTTGTATGGTGTGGATGTTTGTTCTTATGAGATGTGCGATGATGTATCTGAGTTTCATTAGTTTAATGCAGACATGTCTATTGAAGAACATAAGCTTATAGAGTGGGAGAGGAAGAGATAGGTGTGTGGTTGAGTTTTTGTATCGTTTGAGAGTAGGATTTTTTGTGAGTGTTTGGATTTTGGTGATACAGTGAATACGATGATAGTTGCTTAAGGAGTTTTCAGTGTTTCCTATCTTAAGTTATCCAAGATAGGAAAGTAGTAGTCTGTTATTTCTGGACTATCTGAGCGATGGTGTTTTTGAAGTCAGATAGGTATGGTGTGGTGATGTTGATTGTGAACGTGGTGGTGTATTCTGTGTTGATTGTGTTGTTTGTGCCTTAGTTGTTAATTGATGTAGACATGACTGGCGTGTTTGTGGTTTTGTGTTTCGATTTATTTTGACCTATCTACTGTGTGTAATTGGTATCGCTTGCATGCAATAACTCTTTAGATGCATTCTCGCCAATGAGTACGTTTTTAACTTTTCAGACGATCGGTTACTCCACGACGGAATGGACGGCGTTCTCGTTCTTTCTCGTCGGGTCGTGACAGGCGGTCACCACGTAGAATGAACGATCGATATCGTCTTCCCTCCTCTCCTCGCCACTTTAGTCGGTCATTGTCAAGAGAACGTCGTTAACTGCTGCTTGTTTGAATTGATCATTGTTTTTATCGGTTTATACATATATACATCATGAACTTATAATTTAACTTAGTCTTTTGCTTTTCTTGTCAGCCAGTATCCCGCCGGTATGGATTGCCTGTGTGCTATGCTGACGCGCGGGAGGTTGCTGATGTTTGCAGTGTCGAGGGAAACAGTTTTCAGTTGGTAGCTGTTTGCAGATTTCGTGACTCGGCGTGTAGCTGTTAACCTGGAGACATAGTTGGGGCTGGTGTGGAGTTGAAGTCTTTTCGGCAGACAGGTGACCTGGTGGTGGTGAGACTAGCAGGTTGAGGCGTGTTGCTGCAACTGTTGACTGGCTGTGTATTCTGGGAATTAGTTGGCGTAGGCTAAGCGGTCGACCCACAGGGTAGCCGAGGCAGCCAATTCAAAAGCTTGAACAAGATACACATGGTGTTTGCTTGCGGGTATTTGGCGTTGACAACTGAGGTTGTTCAGGTTGGTGGGTGTGTGAACGTTGGGCGGAGTACATGGCTGCAACAGGATTGCCGAAAAGATGGTTCTAACCCCATTCTTCGGGCCTAGATCCCGGTTGTCCTGATGCGTACGGTAAGCCGGTACAGTAATTGATAAAACATTTTCCAAAGTATATAACAGATAATCGTGTTATGACGTATCTGAGGTACTTATGTCTTGGTAAGACTCTGCGCATCAGATCCTCATCCTGGGGTGAGCTGGCTGAAATGTTTGCCCCTGATGTTTCAGTTGTTTCTGCCTTCATGACACTGTTTTCAGACTGGATCACTCACCCCAAGTATGTGCCAATTTGCACGGTTGTCAAGACACTGCTGTCCAGCTTCGTTCGTGTAGTCGAGTGTTGTTCGTCACTGAATGAATGACTGAGTCTTTTTTCCTCACTCTAGACAGGAGTGTGGGTCTCAGAGAGAGGGAGAGGGAGAGGAGTGAGACAACACTATGATGCACAGATTGTGCGAACAAAAGTGTTACAATCGGGGTGAAACCACAATGCTGGTGCGGGGGGAGTTGGTATACTAGTGTCGAGGATCATGGTTTCGGTGTTTTGTATCACTACCACATGTCTATTCTACAAGATAACTGGCATTCAGAGCGTTTACATTATTTATTCAGTTCAGGTCTGTAGTCTGTTTTCGTGTGAAACGGTTTTTGGAATTATTCAGTGTCAAGTGGTGAATGCCGTAGTTAGATATCTCCTAAATTGTGGGGATGTCAATGGCTTTGCTAATGTCTGGCATATGAATTTGATCACATCCACAGTGTGTGTTTTGTGTGTGTGTGTGTGTGTGTGTGTGTCATTTGCGAGTTTTTGATGACTGTAATAAAATGTTAGGGTTGGTCGCGTCACGCACGCATTCTATTAGAGCCTGACTATGGTCAGGTGTCAGAAGGATGCTACATGGAAAGGAGTAGATTTACTGGGGCATGTTTGCCTTGGTCCCTGAACAGCTCCTACATAATAGGATGTTTTTGGGTGTGGGGGTAGATACTACAGTGTTTCCTTCATGTAGCGAGATGTAGTTGTAGTAGAAGAGAGTACTGTCTTGGGGGGTGGGGGGCGGTGTCAGGCGTTGACGTGTGTGCGTAGTGTTTTTTGCTGCTTCAGGTGATTGAGTGATATGTTTATTGTGACATTGTCATTTTTCTCTCTTCCATTTTCTGCGTGGGAGGAGTACTTGTGTTTCAGTTTGTTGGAGTATCTGGGGCATTGACGGAGTTGTTATTTTGCTTGTGCAATTTGGTGCTACAGACTGATGTCAGTGTTGTTTGAGGATTATCTGTCAGAGTAGTATCCAGTGAGTGGATATTGTTGTTTTGTCTTAACCATATAGGTTTGTGTGAAGTGAGTAGAGTCACGTCGGACTTTTGTGGTACAGCGACTGGGATGACTGTTTAACTGGTGTTGACTTGTAGTTGTTGCATTCTGACTTGTGCTAATGTTTGTTTTCCGGATGGCTGGCTGATTGTTGGTGCGTTGTCACGCCTATTGTGTACGTGTCCATTAGTGTGTATCCCTGTCGGTGAGATGTTGTTGTTGGTAGTATTGCTGATAATTGTCTGCAATAGCACAGACATGCTCACTCTCTTGACCTCTTGGTCTCCTGTCGACTGACACTATTCTTGTCTGTCTCAGTGTGCTTGTATCTTTGTTATCTTGCGTTGTTGTGAAGTGTGAGAACTCGAACTGAGAGACTTTTGTGTTTTTTTCTGCCATGCCATTATTTTTATTATTATTATTATTATTACTATTATTTGTCCCTTGGGTTCCTAGTGGAACGTAGGGCTTCAGTAGCACGTCTGCAGTGCACTCTATTCTCTGCAAACTTCCGAACCTGGCTCCACGAGGGCCCAGAAGCTCTCATTTCTTCCTCTCATGATCTCCTCCATGTCAGTCTCGGACGGCCAACTCGTTGTTTCCTATCTGAGTTCCACTCGAGGGCCTGGCGCGTGGTGTCCCCAATCGGCCTTCTCAATGTATGTCCAATTCATCTCCACTTCCTTTTGCATGTATGTTGAGTGATAGGTTCTTGGTTGGTTCGTTGCCAGAGTTCCTTGTTGCTTATTCTTTCTGGCCATCTGAGCTTGAGTAACGTGCGTAGGCAGTTGTTGATGAATGAACTATATACGAGTTTTGTTCACATTGAGTTATTCTGCAAGTGGATGGTTTCCGCTAGAAAACTTTTTAATGTCATGTTACACATAGTATATAGGTCGTGTAGGCTGCTTGGAACGGCCCCCAGTTATAAACTCCAGCAGAAGGGAAACAGTTCTCCAATTCATGCGAGTCAATATGCAAGCCTAAATCTAAACTGTCCTGTGGAATAAGTTACCTGAAACTTACTACGAGGAATCTTTCTAACCGTGCGAAGAAATACTTGGCAGTTAGACTGCGAAGTGTGAATACCATGTTGTAGATGTTGATTAGTAAGTGTGAGGCTTGATTGTTGGGGATTTGTGGAGCACATGAGTGAGAGCACATGAATGAATGATGGGAGAGGAATGCAGAAGTACGAATAGATTGTGTACCGAGTGAGTATGATGGGGACTGGTGGTTGTGTTTTTGCAGTCAGTCTTTGTTGTGGCGAAGGTTGTATGCAGGGAAGACGGTGAGGGTATGCGATAGGATGTGGTGAATTTGGTTGTTGATGTGCTACGCTTTTTGTGAGAGGTTGGGATTTAGCGTGAGTAGGTGACAGGGTGAATACGTGGGTGAGAATGTTGGATATGATGCGATTGTTGGTGAGAAATTTCATGGTGTATTTCGACCGAGACACATGTGCATCTGTTCTGGATTGTCGAGGGACGTGGTTGAATTTCTTGTGAGTGAGTGGATATTTGGTAGAGATGTAGCCTTTGTCAGTTTGTGGGTGAGTGGGCTAGTCAGTAGGTTTTTGAGAATTGTATCAGATATGTTTGTCTATCTCTGCAGGATGTGTTCGTGGGTGGTTGGTGTAGTGCATCTGACGAGGACTGGTTGACAAGTCTAGTGTCTTAAGGATGCAATATTGAAGTGAGTAATCACTGGCGGTATGCGATGCATCCCGTTAAGATTGCGCTTACAAGTTGGCATTGAGTGTATACTTCCTGTGCATTCCGCTAGAGCCTGACTGTGATCAGGTGTATTTGGGATGCGATATTCGGAGAGAGTTATTCGATTGGCAACACTACTGCCGATTATATGAATACTTCTAACATTATTGTGAGCTTTGAGTGTTGATTCTAATGCATTCTCATAGTGCCAGGACGTTGTTTTGGTCTCCTAGAAATGCTATATTGAAGAAGGCGATCGCTAGTGGCATTTGCATGCCTTTAGTATCGCCTGTACACTGTTATTCTTAGTGTTTTTGTTCACCTGACTTGACAGCCAGTGTTGGACAGAGTTGTTGTTGTTGCTTAACTAACGGGTGGTGTGTGTGTGTGGTGTGGTGTGTGAGAGGTTGATATTGGTGTTGTGCTATGTTATTTCTCCGTTATTTTCAGATTTCTGTTTATGACACGATGTTGTGGAAAGGGTTGTATGGTGTGGATGTTTGTTCTTATGAGATGTGCGATGATGTATCTGAGTTTCATTAGTTTAATGCAGACATGTCTATTGAAGAACATAAGCTTATAGAGTGGGAGAGGAAGAGATAGGTGTGTGGTTGAGTTTTTGTATCGTTTGAGAGTAGGATTTTTTGTGAGTGTTTGGATTTTGGTGATACAGTGAATACGATGATAGTTGCTTAAGGAGTTTTCAGTGTTTCCTATCTTAAGTTATCCAAGATAGGAAAGTAGTAGTCTGTTATTTCTGGACTATCTGAGCGATGGTGTTTTTGAAGTCAGATAGGTATGGTGTGGTGATGTTGATTGTGAACGTGGTGGTGTATTCTGTGTTGATTGTGTTGTTTGTGCCTTAGTTGTTAATTGATGTAGACATGACTGGCGTGTTTGTGGTTTTGTGTTTCGATTTATTTTGACCTATCTACTGTGTGTAATTGGTATCGCTTGCATGCAATAACTCTTTAGATGCATTCTCGCCAATGAGTACGTTTTTAACTTTTCAGACGATCGGTTACTCCACGACGGAATGGACGGCGTTCTCGTTCTTTCTCGTCGGGTCGTGACAGGCGGTCACCACGTAGAATGAACGATCGATATCGTCTTCCCTCCTCTCCTCGCCACTTTAGTCGGTCATTGTCAAGAGAACGTCGTTAACTGCTGCTTGTTTGAATTGATCATTGTTTTTATCGGTTTATACATATATACATCATGAACTTATAATTTAACTTAGTCTTTTGCTTTTCTTGTCAGCCAGTATCCCGCCGGTATGGATTGCCTGTGTGCTATGCTGACGCGCGGGAGGTTGCTGATGTTTGCAGTGTCGAGGGAAACAGTTTTCAGTTGGTAGCTGTTTGCAGATTTCGTGACTCGGCGTGTAGCTGTTAACCTGGAGACATAGTTGGGGCTGGTGTGGAGTTGAAGTCTTTTCGGCAGACAGGTGACCTGGTGGTGGTGAGACTAGCAGGTTGAGGCGTGTTGCTGCAACTGTTGACTGGCTGTGTATTCTGGGA